AAGCAAAAAATTCTGCTATCTAAAGATGTATTGGCATGTGTCATGTAAAATGTAATCAGCTGTGGGATCAGGTGGACGCTGGTGTTTAGTGTGTGTGTACGGGCGGCGGCGGGGGGTGTGGGGTGTGTGTGTGTGTGGGGGGGCGTTGGGGTCGGGGTCTGGGTTGCATATGTTTATCTAGTTGGGAATAGGCTACTTTGCGTTACCCCATCGCCCCCTTTCGGTATTGCAAACGCCCCTCCTCGGTACGCAGCTGGTGCCCTGGTTTCACTTTCTCGTTTCAGCTATTACTTTATGGCAGCGGTCCCCAACCCCCGGGCCGCGGAGCGGTACCGGTCCGTGGTCATTTGGTACCGGGCCGCACAGAAAGAATAAATAACTTACATTTTTTCCGTTTTAATTATTATCTGGATCTGAACCGTATTTTATTTTGAAAAATGACCGGATTCTCTCCGTTACATCCTTCTACGACTCACTCTTGACGCGTGATCCGCTGAAACCTTACCATAGAGACCAGAGAGCGTTAGGGGAGAGAGGATGTTACGAGGACGCTGCTAATAAAATTGCGATTTCACATTGGATTGACGTTTATTATTATATTTTTAAAATACCCCAGTTTTTATGCCGGTCCTATCATTTTATTTTGTTGTATTTATCCGCCACACCTTAAAGGCCGGTCCGTGAAAATATTGTCTGATATTAAACCGGTCCATGGCGGAAAAAAGGTTGGGGACCGCTGCTTTATGGGATAAGAACGCATTGCGGGGAGGTGAGGCGGACTAACAGACTGCATAGCCTGAAGCTATTAATGAATCATTTCTGTTCCTCATAATTTGTCAATGGCTGCATTAGCCTATTGTTTATTTTTTTTATTCCAAATTTGATGAACATTTGTGTAAATACTAGATGTGTTGGGGAATTTAACATCGAACATTTTAATTATATTCTGCTGAAATTAATGAAATGACTTGAAAAAAGATTCGTTTATTTTGCTGAACGAGATTCAAAGATCCGAGTCAGTAAAATGATCCGAACTTGTGTGTGTGTGTGTGTGTGTGTGTGTGTGTGTGTCGAATGTAGCAGTGGCCACACCCTGGCCATCCCATGTAACTCTAGTTCAGCCACTGATGAGCTCTGGTGACAGTGTATGAAGTGTGTGTACTTTTCTTTGTGATTTAAGTCTAGCCAAAATCTGCATTTTCAACAGTGACCGAGACAAATGAGACTTGCATGTATGAAGTAAGATGGTTATGGAATTTATTGAATTTCCTATATTATATTGCATTTATTGTAAGTGCAAAAATCTTAAAAGCATTCAATCTCTCTATTCTTAAAGCAGGAGAAGTCCACAAAACCCCTGACACTGCCCCTCCCCCCCACACACACACTCTCTCTCTCAGCGCGCATGCTCGGTGGAGGAGTGAGCATGGTGTGTTGAGCGTGTAAGAGTGGTTTGATGTTTTTCCGCCAAAGTTTTTTCTTCTACGAGTTTATATTTTTTTCTTTTTCGTTCATTTAATGTATTGAATGTTAAGTCATGTGAGTATCGGTGGATGGTGAAGGTTTGAGAGTGGGAGACAGTGAGCAGGATGCCATGGCCTCCGAGGCCGTGGGGGAGAGGCTGTCTCTCCGCCATGGCATCAGATCTGTGCCGGTGCATGGAGAACAGGTGGAGGAGGTTCTGCTAGCGGTGGGAGAGCGGTTTGGGTGTGAGAACATCTACTCCTCCTCCCGAATGAACAAAGCTGTGGTGATCTTCCTGAAAAAAGAAATACTCACCAACACGCTGTGTACTAATGGAATATTGCTAAATGGTGACATGCTACACGTTACCTCCCTTTCTGCTCTTGCGACAAGGGTTGTAATTTCTAACATGTCCTCCTTCGTACAAGATGAACTGATAATGAAGGAGCTGGCCCACTTCGGCAAGTTCGCCGGCCCCATGACTGAACTCCGGCTCGGCTGTAAAGACTCCGCGGTGAAACACATCCTGTCTTTTCGGAGACAGGCGTACATGTTTCTTAATAACCGAGATCAAATGCTGGATGTTATCTTTAATTGTAAACATGGCAACAGCAGCTACACCGTCTTCGCCACCACCAAGCGCCTGAGGTGCTTTGTGTGTGAGGAGATCGGACACAAACGGCTGAGCTGCCTGCGCAGAGCTGCGCAACCGGGGAACTCCGGGGGAGACACGGCCGGGGTGCAGCAGCAGCAGCAGCGCGGAGACAGCCAGAAGGAGGTCACCGCAGAACAGGAGCCTGGAGCAGAGGGGGGTAACCACACTGCGAGATCACAGGAAGGAGTGGTTAGTGAGGACCACACCGCCAAGGTAATCACAGCACCCAGTGAATAGCATTGACACCCGTGCCCACACCAGCGATAATACCGACACCCGTGCCCATACAAGCAGTAATACCGACACCCGTGCCCATACAAGCAGTAATACCGACACCCGTGCCCATACCAGCAGTAATACCGATACCACAAAAAGCGTTTTTCTTTCAAGCCCTACAAAGCCGTTACCGGTTGAGCGGGTGACCCCGTATGACCGCAGCAGAAGGACCAACAGGACACAAACGTTGAAAATAAAAATTCTAAACCGGAAATAACAGGGGAGAAGTTGGAAAAGGTGGGGAACCAGTCTAAACAAAGACAGCGTAATGATGAGATGTCAGAAGACTTGGGTTCAGAGTCCAGTGAAGGATCTGCAGGGGAAGAATCCCTCACAAAACATGGAGGAGGAAGAGGTCACCACAGAACAACCATGTGGTTTTAACCGCCCACAACAACCTGAACAACTTTACACCGCAGAACAGATTAATCATTTTCTAAAAATGACTAAAGGAAAACGGAACATCCTGCTGACAAACTTCTTTCCGGACAAGAGGGCCTTCATTAAAACTGCACAGCACACCATGGCTGTATTGTCACCTAGGAGGCGTCACAGGTTAAGGAAATGGGCAACAGTCGCAAACGAGGAAATATATTGTATGCAGAATGTCTTCGGAGTGTACTGATTAACCGTTTCCCAGATATGTCTAAAGCACGAGAGGACTGAGTATGTGTTTTTTTTTTTTGGGGTGGGGTGGGGGGTGGGGGGGGTTGTGTGGGCGGGGGTGGTCTCTGTGGGGGGTTTCTCTTTTCTTTTCTCTTCCCTTCTTCTTTTTTTCTTTCCTTCTTCTTCTTCTTCTTCTTCTTCTTATCTTTCTTCTTCTTCTAGTTCTTTCTCTCTTCATTTTTAAAAGGAAAATTAAATTTTCATATATGTGAATATGTAAATATACCAAAATTTGTATTTAATAAAGTCAAGTCTTTCTCTCTCTGTGCGGAACTGTGATGCAGTTTTGCTTTCTATTTTCATTTTTGGGACCTGGTGTATACTGAATGCATGGCAGATGCAATGTAAACAGCATTCATTACCACCAGATGGCATGTTAGAGTCAAAACATCCCTGTTCATCTGATTTCTAAGTCTAACTGTAAAATTAAACACACTGACAAGTTCAGTCTAAAACTTTCTGCTGTCCGAGTGATTGTTATCATGAGTTGCTTCTCAAATAAAAAAGTTTGCCCTTACATTCAAATCTATTTAGTAATCTAGAAGATGCAGATGACTGGTAAACAAAACCAAACTTTTGGTACTATGTTAAGGCTACATGAGAGGTTTTGTAAAATTCATAACTATGAAAACTGCTTAGTGTTAGTACTCAGTAACTGTCTAAAACAATACATAAGTAGGCAATTTATTTTTGGCCCAAAATTAAATATTACAGAAAAATGTTTGTATGCAAATAAAGTTTGCCATTAATGAATGCACCAATACAGCATATTACATAAGAGACCTCGTCATACAAAAGACAAGAAATGCACTACTAAGCTATAGACATTTTGATATTTTTCCCCTCAATAAGTCTAATTTTGTAGAACTTCAGCAAGGTTTTTGAAAATCAAAGAATATTTTCCACATTGTTATCTTAAGACTATGTCCCTGATTGTGCCACACTGTCACATTTACAACTGCACATTTTTATGAATTTTTCAATAATCCTTTGTCCTTTTTTATTTTCTCTTGCAACAGACATGGATTCCAGATGCATGGAAATAGCTGCCCTGGGAAGACCTCTGTATCCCGGCATGCTGTATGATTGCCGCAGGGACACCTTTATTCCAGGTGCAATTTACACCCCATTTAGTTCACTACTTGCAGTCTAAAGATGGTTGCCATAAAATATATTAATGTCAATAATTAGCCATGCTATGTACATACTGTATGCAATAATGAAATACCAGAAGTTGTTCGACCTACCTCTGAAGTGTTTGGAGGGGGAAAAATAATAATAAATTATTAATTTTATAAGCTCATAGTCATTGCTATACAGTGCATCTGGAAAGTATTCATAGCGCTTCACTTTAACCTACCTCTGAACCGTTTGCCGGGGAGGGGGGCTAATAATAAATGACAAATTTTTATGACAACATGAAAACAGACAACATTGATTGTTTGATGAATTATTACATTAATTGAGGAAAAGGAGTTTACAGATATACAATTTGCAAAATAAATTGAGTATAAAAAGAACAAAGTCTGCAAAGTACTGACATTGGAGACTCCTTCCATGAAAGTTAAAATAATGTCTCCTAACAGAAAACATCACCATATCAGTCATTAATCTGTAGTCAAGACTATAGTCAAGTTCAAGACAAAGTCCAAGACCAGGATTAGCCAAGACTGAGTAAGGATTGAGATTTAAGGGGATTGAGAGTGAGTCAAGATAAAGGATAAAGTTAGACTGAAATTATCAAAACTAAACACCAGGAATAGACTTGCAAAGATGGGAATCCTTGGGCTTGAACCAATGTTGGGGATCTATACACCATGACATGAATCTATAACTGCTCCAACAAGCAAACATCAAGGGTGATATAACAAAACAGTTAACTAAAAACCTGGAGGAAACCCCCACAGCACGGGGAGAACATGCAAACTCCGCACACACATGGCCCCGGCGGGAATGGAACCCCATACCCTGGAGTTGTGAGGCAAATGTGCTAACCACTAAGCCACCGGGCCTAAAATCGTCACAATTCATTGCAACCAACTAATGTTGAATGCGCTATCTAACATTGCACCAGCTACTTTCTGTAAAGCTGCTCCCTGATGTAAAATATGTATGGCCAATAATGCATTTTTATTTAAAAAAAATCATTTGTGATCAAGAATTAAAATTTTGGTTAAATAATTCTGAAAAAAAAAATCAGGGCGTTTCTGGACTTCCATAGAATCAAGAGTGTCCTGACAAACAGGTGTAGATGGTTCCTTAAGAGATCAAATTCATATGTTGTTTTACAATAGTCCGGCTGGTATTCTGTTCATGGTGTGCTCTTGACCCAATTATCTGAATATTAAACTAATTTTACCACAGTACAAGAGACACAAATCAAACAGTGTATCCAAATCAAACCTCTACACAGCTCATACAACACTGCTATGGATTGTAAACAGCAATGTGTCAAGCCATGCTAAAGCTAGTCCAAACTAAATCTCTAAAATGAAATAGTTCTACTTAGTTCGGTCCTTACCTTTTACAAGTCAGGTCTTCAGGATATATTTGCAGCACAGTCATTTAAAATCCAACTCTGTTTTTGTGCTCTACTGTCATATTTTCTGTTGTCTGACATTATGACAACTAGCTAGATTTTATCAAAAGCCCATATGACTGTACCTGCTCTCCCTCATATGTTCCAAACTTAAACCAGTAAACAAGGTTCAATCACTCACTTTTTCAAAGTATTTAAACTGGATGAGTTAGTGTCAATATTTCATTAACAATATTCTGATTGCTGAATTTTAAATGTTAAAGACAACAGATGAAGTTTTTAAATGTTTAAATGGCCTAATGAAAATACATTAATAAAAAAAATCTAGCCAACAGAACTGTGTAAATAATTATATTTTCATAAATGTTCGTACGGACAGAAATCAGCTATATAACGAAATGACCATGAGTGACGTTTAAAAGCATCCTCTTTCTTCTTTTTCTCCTCCTCTTGATTTCCCTTGCACTTCTGATTGCCAGATAGGTTCATTTTTCAGGTGAATTTTAAAAAATTAGAAGAGCAAAGGAGCCCCTTTTTAGGGGGTTCTGAGATGTTGCTGCAAAGGATTTTAAGCTGAAAATGTATGATTATTAAAATGACCAGCATTCGGGGACCCTCTCTATATGTGGGGCCCCAGGCAATTGACTGCCCTGTAGATACACCTCTGCTTTTATCTCAGATGACGAGATGAAGAGTGATGTGAGTGATGCTGATAATCAAAGTGATAATACGCATGTCCTATTGTAAACTTATAATTTGGCAGTAAATGTTTTCCAGGAGTAAACAGTGTAATACATGTAGAAGTAGGTGTGTCTTTGAACAGACCTGGAAAGAAATCTTTAGTATTATTTTCTCCTTTTTCATTTTGGCAACATTTAAAATGCTAGAATATTTTCAGAACTATAAAGTAGAACAACATGTCAAAATTTGAAGAGTATTTGCAAGCCATCACACATATTTAAATGCACTGTTTGTTTTTTTTTGTTCTTGTCTTGTGAAGTTATTAAAGATTTTTTTTAACGCAGCTTGTCATATTACCAAAAGCTAAAAAGCACTCCATCCTAATGACTTTCCCATTGTCTCTGACTGTTACAAAGCTCTGATAAGCTCTGATAAGCTCTTATATCTCCTCACAGTCAACTTCAGCCTATAAACAATTTTTGGATTTTATTTTATTTTTTTATGTGGAGCATTTGCTATACAAATCTGTTTGAGTTGATTCTATAGAAATATACTGTACTAAAACAAGCATGTTAATATAAATGTGTGTTTTGCAGCTGTACTACTGTTAGAGATTTTGTTATTGGAAAATTAATCAAGACATTCTGACCAATCAGAATTGAGCATTCATCTGCACTGTGGTGTAAAAAGTAAATCATATATCATCAGAAAAAGTTGATGAATGAAAAATATTCATGATGCAGCTATCATTTCTTATCAATTTCTTGTTTCAGGTGTTACTTTATGGGATAAGAAAGCATTGCGTGATGACCTTGATGTACATCAGCAGCCGAAAACACATCTGAAGTTTGCTGCCTCAGACACCCTCAGTGATAAGGCCAATCTCCTAGATATATGTGCTTCCCTTAAAGCCAGTTTCCTCTGTGGTTTGGTGGAAGTTGGAGGATCGGCCAAGTACCTGCGTGATAACAAATCCTCAGCACGTCAGTGCAGAGTTACTATGCACTACAGCCAGACCACAACATTTGAACAACTCACTATGAGGGAGCTTGGCAATATCACCTATCCACAAGTATTTGACCAGAAAACAGCCACCCATGTAGTTACAGCTGTACTGTATGGAGCTCAGGCTTTCATGGTGTTTGATCATGTAACTGCTGAAAATGAGAACAAACAGTCTGTTGAAGGAAACCTTCATGCAGTGGTCAAGAAGATCCCTACCATTTCCATTGAGGGGGAAGCATCCCTAAAGATGAATGAAGAGGAAAAACAACTGGCTGAGAATATCAGTGTCACATTTTATGGTGACTTTGAGCTTGAACAAAACCCCACCACATACAAGGAATCCCTGGAAGTGTACAAGAAGTTGCCCACTCTGATAAAGCAACAACAACATAAAGGTGTGCCACTGAATGTATGGCTATATCCTCTGACACTTTTGGATGATAAGGCTGCAAAGTTGGTGAGAGAAATCAGTGTGATTCTGGTGGATAAATCAGAACATTTGCTGGAGGAGCTCGGGGAAGAGGAGAGGAGATGCAATGATTTGATCAAAAACCAAATAACAAATGATTTCCCTGATCTAAAAGACAGGTTGTTAAGGTTTCAGACATTACAAAAGAATTATACAAGATCATTCCAGACTGCACTCTCCAGACTTTTGCCAGCTATTCGGGGTGGGACACAAGAGGACAAGGCATTGGGGGACATCCTGAAAATCCATGACACATCACCCTTCACTGCTAGCAACATGAACAAATGGTTAGATGATGTTACAACTGAATTAAATATTCTGAGTTCCTATACCAGTTGGCTGAAGGACCTCACAGTTGTGAAATCATCTTGCTCATTCAGCTCCATCCTCTTGGAAGCTAATGTTGATGTGGCGATATGTTTGTCTTTTACATCTCTCAAGTTTGAAGACTCCTACCTTGTGGCTATGCAAGACTTTGAGAACCTTGAAAGATTTACAATGTTGGATCAAACAAGTGAGGGTGATTTCTCTCTCCAAGTCACACAGCCTTGGTTCACTTCTCCTGACATTTCTGCGAGCATGAAGCAGAATATTTCTCACTTTACAAGCTTTTTAAAGGCCAATAAAAATGAGAAGAGAATCAAATTCATCATTGCCTCCATATCTGACCCCACCAATCCAGGAACCTCCATCCAACTTTACCAGAAAAGTGTTCTGACAGATCCTAGGTTCCAGCCTGTATGTAAACCACCTCTACCTTTGGTGCAGACCAGTGATGAGAAAGTCCTCCTAAAGCTTTCAAAATCCCCAACTGGAGAGACGGTACGGTTCAGAGTTGAATACAGGACGACACCACCAACTGATTTAGAAGATGACATTGATGAATGGACAGTCATAGACACTTCAGATGCACAGACCAAGATCACACTGACTGGACTAAAGCCAGTAGACCAACACTGGGTCCGATACAGAGCAGTTAGTGATGTGGGAGTGAGTGAAGCCAGCGACTCTGTCCCCTTCTCCATTCATCCGAAGCGCAGTATTGAAGTGGGCCAGTCATGGGTCAGTTAAAGATATATCAGATTCTTACTCATTTCTGTTCATGCATGTATATGGGTGTTTTTTCATTTGTAATAACTAAATTACATTTTTAAAATGTAGCCTGTGGTAAAGGAACAGATTCTCTTATGTTTTCATATTTTGAAATATGCATCAACAGTTCATTAAAATCTACTTAAAATTTCTTGTATTGAAAAAATCTGTCCATTGAGAGAAATGGTCTACGTTCTTCTACACTTGTATCATATTGTGGGTATACAGTGGTGTGAAAAAGTGTTTGCCCCCTTCCTCATTTCCTGTTCCTTTGCATGTTTGTCACAGTTAAGTGTTTCGGAACATCAAACCAATTTAAACAATAGTCAAGGACAACACAAGTAAACACAAAATGCAATTTGTAAATGAAGGTGTTTATTATTAAAGGTGAAAAAAATCCAAACCATCATGGCCCTTTGTGAAAAAGTGATTGCCCCCTTGTTAAAACATACTATAACTGTGGTTGTCCACACCTGAGTTCAATTTCTCTAGCCACACCCAGGCCTGATTGGCGCCACACCTGTTCACAATCAAGACATCACTTAAATAGGAGCTGCTTGACACAGTAAGGTCCACCAGAAGATCCTTAAAAGCTACACATCATGCCGAGACCCAAAGAAATGCAGAGAACAATTGAGAAAGAAAGTAATTGAGATCTATCAGTCTGGAAAGGGTTATAAAGCCATTTCCAAAGCTTTGGGAATCCAGCGAACCACAGTGAGAGCCATTATCCACAAATGGCCGAAGACATGGAACAGTGGTGAACCTTCCCAGGAGTGGCGGCCGCACAAAAATACCCCAAGAGCGCGCGACGACTCATCCAAGAGGTCACAATAGACCCACAACAACGTCCAAAGAACTGCAGGCCTCACTTGCCTCAGTTAAGGTCAGCGTTCATGCCTCCACCATCAGGAAAAGACTGGGCAAAAATGGCCTGCATGGCAGAGTTCCAAGGAGAAAACCACTGCTGAGCAAAAAGAACATCAAAGCTCGTCTCAATTTCTCCACAACACATCTTGATGATCCCCAAGACTTTTGGGACAACATTCTGTGGACCGATGAGACAAAAGTGGAACTCTTTGGAAGGTGTGTGTCCAAGTATATCTGGTGTAGAAGGAACACTGCATTTCATAAAAAGAACATTATACCAACAGTAAAATATGGTGGTGGTAGTGTGATGGTCTGGGGCTGTTTTGCTGCTTCAGGACCTGGAAGACTTGCCGTGA